CTTGAGCCAGATGGGACATAAAAAAGTCCTCTAAAACTGACCAAAAGAAAATAAATATATACAGATATACGTACATGTATCATATATATGTGTATATACAATTAAAATTGCCTATCAATCTTTGTACATTCAAGTTCATCAGTGGCTTTGTCATCACACGGACCCATTACACATTACACGTGCCCATTGGCTGAACGCTGAATTTGAGTTAAAGTTAATGCGCAATATGGGTTTCGTGAGATTATGATCACTTTGACATTTTCCTGTATGTCAGACGTGTTTGCCGAATTCACCTTTTTGGGGGAGGGGTCTGGTTTTATGCCCTCATCCCCCCAGGAGGCGTTACTGAACTACCCATACAAACCTGTTTGAAGTAACAGGTACATTTTGGAAGTATTGAGTTTGAAAAGGGGGCTACTTGACTATGCCATTTTTGCAACTCCGAATTCTGATATTAAACTTATGGCCAATGAGGCACTGATTAATAAAAATGACAACATTAAGTTTCAGTCTGCCTGATCAAAATTAAGTCTAACGTGGATTACCGTGTGTGTTGGGGGAGGGACAGGATGGCCTATGCGCCTTTTCAGGCGACAATGGGGTAAAACCCAAGCTAATACTGATTTGACATCCATTGCATTCTGGATGTCGTTTTCTGTTGTTTAAATTCCAGCAACTATGGATTGTTCCTTTCTTTCGTTTTCATTTCATTATTTTCCTGCTTGTATTTTTCGGGTAGACCTGTCTGACTAGAGTAAATGATGGATCAAACATTTACATTCAAGAAAAGGAGCGGAAGATGCAACGCATTTGTGGCAACTTTTGGGGTAACCCAAGAAGATATGGGACGTATTTTTTGTGAGGATTTTTCTTTGAAAAAATCAAATAACTCTGCAGTTGAAAGCCAACAAAATTTGTTCTTATAACAAATGAAAATGATTTTCCATCAATAAAATAGGAAGGCGAGCGCCGCCCGACTGTGCCACCCCTGGATCTCTTACTATTGAATCTCCGATAATAAACATTATACACGCCTGACAGCTTTTATACTGAGATCACTGACAAGAAATGGACCCAAGATCGGTTTCACTGTCGAAAATTTGAATGAAACTAAATCAGCATCAATCCTGTAGCTCACTGTATTCAAACCTAGAAAATTGCCTTGTGGGTTCTGCGCCCAGGGACATGGAGAAAAAATGTGGTGAGGGGGGAAAAAGAC